TTTTTCTATTTTTTTTTTTTTTTTTTTTTGCGAAAGAAGTAGTATTTCTGAACGTCCAAATTCGCTGTTAGCCGGATTAATAACGATCCTATAATCACAACCCTGATGGGTGGGATACCATCTTTTATTATACGTGCATGGGCGATTGTTTTTGTAGCATCGCTGACAAATATTTTCAATCAAAGTGTGAAGATAGTCTAGTCTAGTCTAGTCTAGTTCAGTTCAATTTGGAAGTCTAATTTCATCATTCTGCTTCACAAAAACCAGCCTGCAAACGATATTAGAAACTACAAAGAAAGATAGCGAAGCGAAGATAGCTAAATTTTTTGAACGATTAGCTGTCAAAGGGCTTATCCTATTATATAATTCTATTTTGTCTACAATTGTGTCTAGTTTTGCCGAAAAAACATCAATTTCAAACAAATCGCTCAGAATTAATCAGGAATGTTTTTCAAGACTACAAAATCTTTCGACAGAGTTGACCCTTATCTTTTGCTTTTCAAATTCGCCTCGCCTGGGTGCTTGAAACCTGTCAATCACAGATGCTTCTCGTCATATCTGGTATAGTACAGGGTGGTCACTTCTCTTCATATATAGATATTTTCAAGTGAAACGTTTACATGTATCGAAGCCTAGAAGTATGTGATGTTTGCCGACAATATAAAAGCGTTTCATTCTTTTATTATCATCATCATCATCATTGGTACCATTGGGATCATTGGTATAGGAAGCGTTCAGTTTTTTTTAAATCTTTCTTGTGCATGACGAATTGTATATCACTAAATGTAAAACATGCCAAACGCTATCCAGCTTACATACTGAACCATCCATCTCAATAAATCCAAATCGCTTCTGGGCTTTTCAAAGAGCGAGGGATTCTATGTTGCTTAATAATAATAAACGTTTATATATTAGAAAATTAAACTGCAATCTGGGCAGATGTCACACTGACCTAACAGAATCGTTACAGCGAAAAATTTTACTTTTTGCACTACGTGACTTGCGAGGAATTCTCGATGCGAGGTTCCGGTTCATTAAAACAGATGACCGCCCATTAATTTACCTACGCTACAAAAAGGACATGGAGACGTTGAAAGACATTTTTACTAGAAAACTGTAACATCTTCTGCGTTTGTACTTTGAAAAATCTCATTTCATTACAGTAGTTTTGGTAGATTTATAAGGCATTGTGAAGAGATTCCTTTATCTCATCTTATGTATAATTTTCATTTTTTCGATCCATTGCTGTCTATTCTATTAAAATCATAATAATGGGTGCTGTCGTACGAACACCACGCCAGCAATCAACCAAGCAGATTACATCTTTAATGATGCTTTCATTGAACTTATAGTTCAATGGATTCATTTAGTTGCTATAATTATACCTAACTTTCATTATCAATTCATTTGTTTTGTTATACCAAGTCATGTCTTTATTTTAAGCGAGTAATTGTTTTAAGTAAGTTAAGTATTAAGCACCGCATTTTTCGTGGTTATGTATTACATTGCTCCCCTTATCACCTTCTAAGCTGTCTTTATATAATGAGTATGAATTAATTTTTATTAATCAAAAACACATATGGTAACAAGCAAAATCAGAATTTTGGCAGCAAAAAATCTTGACCTACTGTTTGGTCGCTTGCGCACACACTTTGCCTTTCGACCACTCTTAAGTTACTCAAATTTCTTTGCAAAAGCCTCAGTTTTTCTAGATTTTAGATGCGTTACTTTCAAGATGGAATTCCGAATACGCACGGATAACATTCAAGATAAATATTAACTTAGAAAACTTCAAAATAATAAAAAAAACCACTGTAGTATGTATAAGTGACAAACAAAAAGAAATAAATAAAACACTATAGGGGGCCACGGCCTACCATTAAACAATCTACACCGCTTCGCTTAATACAGTTACTCGTGTAAATATTTTTGCAAAAAACGACGACATATGCGAGGTGGCCAAGGAAGCCTTTTGACCCAAATAATTTCGTCCTTGCGTCACAACTTGTCCGGTGTACAAATTTTAATAAAATATCTCAAAAATTGCGACCTATTGATCCAATACAAGAATGCAAGGACGAACAGGTGCACAGAGAAGCTTAGATCGATTCAAAATCCTTTTCCGAATAAAAGACGATTCTATCTTAACTTAATATACCCTCGTACCACAGTCAGTGTAAGATATAACAAACTATTTGCGTACGCCCACCCATATATCTAACGCTTGTGTGCAATCATTCGTTCGTACACATTTCACCAAGAAAATGAAAAGCAAACATTCGAGTTCGTAGGAACCAGCACAGATCGTTTACTACATTCCACTACAATTCATACTGTCTGCAAGGCCCGCATACAATTCTCATGCTTTGATGATAGCAATAGTTCGATTAAGAGATTAGCACGCACACACTCTCTCGATTATCCCGTGGATGAAGATGATGACGCATATCTATATGGTTAGTGCGTCTATAATATATTGGATTATTAATTATTATTATTAATTAGGATTAGTAACTGCTAAGCTTCCAATGATTTCGCTTACAAAGTTTCTTATATGAGTGGTTTTATTTCTCGACAATGGCCATGTATGGGGCTAGGCATTGCCATTGCTCAGCTAACAGCTGCGCATATTCTGCAGAGAATCGCCTGTCATCAATTCCATCACCCCAATGGACGATGCAGTCTATTAGTTCCTTTTCTGTTCGTTTAAAGGCCAATTGTAAGTAGTCGATGCCCTTTTGGCGGTCCATGGCTTAATACCTAAATTCGGGTCGAATTGCTTACAGCAAGTAATACAGGACATCTAAACAAACTGTAATGTTTTTCGCCGATCGTGATGGTCTTTGTGTTAGTTCCTAATATTTGCTTCATTTACTATAGCCTGGTGGAGATAAAAATACGAAAAAAGAAAATGTTGATCATCTGCAAATGCAGTGACGTTCCCATCTATCCAGCTTTTCGAATCGTACTGTAGCCAATTGGCCAGCTTTATTATTCTCAAAAGTGACTCACTGTACAACTTTATTATTATTATTATTATTATTATTATTATTTGCTTCTTGAAGTTTTTCTTATATACTTCGTAGAGCTGTTAAGGTCTTCCGTTTCTTTACGTTAAATCAATTGTAAAATTAATCGATGACATATTTACAAAAACTTAATAATATTTAATAATTTTATATATCCAAGAAATGTTTGATAGGATATTTCATGTTTCATTCGATATTTTGAGGGAAATAATTTTTATATTATTTGTGACACAACCACTCAAGGCCGACTAATTCAAAAAGTCATGTGTAAGGAAAAATTATAAAACTAAAAACTATGAATACTTAATCGATTAATATGAAAAGTAATTAATATAGATAAATACAGTGAAGGAAGCACTACACCTTTTTGGTCTCAGGAATCGCACCCAATCTACTTGTTGCATTTATATATGTATAGATAAACTAGACAACAGTCTAGCATAGCCATTATCTGAAGTGAATTCATGTAAAATTCGTAACATGTAAGTTAGCTCTTTTCATTGTTATTTTCCAATAGGTTCCAAATTATAGCTCCTTTTGGTATATGTACATTTATCTTATTTATTTTCACTGCAAAGTAACGCGTAACAAACAACAAAGAAGAAACGCACACTTCCACTCCAGTGAAAGTTTCACGTAACCAATATTTCGGCATACTCGTATCTTTTCGTTCTTGTCACGAAATTTTGCATTTTGATATTTTACTAAATTATAATTTATCGCTTAGCCTTACAATGGCACAGACGACAAGTTAATAAACCATGTAGGTTTGAAGAAAGAGCTGCAACGACATTTTGGACAATTGCTGTTGATAGACTGCCAACTTTACTGTCTATTGGCGTGGATGTTAAAGCAAAGGTAAGATATCACTTAAACTTTATTATTTTTAACGGCTACGTATTTTATCTTTTGTAGTGCCTCTTATTGGATATAAGAAAAACGCATGAGAGAGGTCTAATCCACGACCAGAGGATTGTAGCACCATACCCGAAATAAATAGCAATGTGCCAAAGTCAATTAACATCACACTGTGGGTAAGCAACAATATGTCAGAGGAGTTCAACATCATGCCCGAAACACCATGATAGGGCCAAGTAACAATACGCCCCATGTATTTAACACTGTGCCAGGAACTAGAGCACGTACCAGAATCAACCCGAAAAATAAGCTGTATAAGACTATGGACAGCCTCTTACTGAGCGTTAGCCAAAGGGACGAGTGGGAGCAGAGATATATCGGAAAACAACTTTAAGAAAGAGATGAACGAGAGCAACAATTTTGGAAGGAACATATAAAAGTGGAAGAAAAATTTGATATTTACTTATTTTGAATCTTTTTTAAGTGAAAATGCTAAAATATTTATATTTTTTTTCTAAAATGAAATTATATACACACTTTTTTTTCATGAAATAAATATTTCATTCTAAACACCCGGCTACAGTATGTTTATATTATTTGTTTTAATTGAAATCGATAAATAGAAGGAACTTTTTTATGAAAACGCGTTGTGTTTTTCCAAACACAATATCGATTTGGAACCACTTTTATTAATATATTAAATAATTAAGTTCATATTGTAAATTCTATTACTTTTATAAACTTTTTGAGAAATGATCCCAGTCAATCTTCATTTCTACCCAGATATATAAAAAAATATTATTGACGCATTAAAGCATCATAGCCCGTATTTTTTATCGGTCCCTTCCATATTCATTTGATCCAAAGTACATTTAACACTGAGTTTTAACTTGTATATGACATAGCTTATAATTTTTTGAACTTTTCAAAGAACACTGAATATGTTTCGTTAGGTTTAGTTCGTCGACAAGAAAGCTGCCCGCAATAATATCGTTATTAAATGTAGGACGTTAAATTCTTCTTAATAACTATTAAATCATAAGTGAAGAACTAAACTCAAATTTAATTTCGCAACAGAGAACACCGCCACTTCGATATGTTATACTAAATGACTTGCTTTCTAATTGAATATATTTGTGTTCTTTTTGAAATTGCTCTTTTAAATGCATTCCAAGTATTACTCAATTTTTCTTTCAAATAATTTCTTTCTTTTGTTATCATAAGTGAATCAATTACCCTCCACAGCTATATCAAGCAAATTTTGTACATAGTACGGACCTTCATTGACATAGCCACGCAATTGGAGATTTGTTTGAACATCGAACGCATTGCTATCGGCCAACAGCTCGATTACACAATACTTTGCATATTTTGCTTCCTTATCAAATTCAATTTTCCGATCTAAAAGGAACTCTAATAATCCCGCCGTATTCTTCAACGCTTCAACACCCCATTCGAAGCAGCATAAAGCCCGTATGAAGTTGAGAGATGAAATCTTAATATCAGGAAACGGATTACGACAATAATCCAAGAGGAATTCCATATTATCCGAGTGACGACCCATATAAGAAAACCAAGTGTGCAAAATTGAACTAAAAAATATAACAAAATCATTCAGATAGCTCGTTTTGAAATACTTTTAACCATATCCGAATGCTTACTTGACTTCTGAGCATACTGATTGTTCGAAGGTAAAAATAGCCTCTAAGCTATTAAATGCACGGATTTTAAGATCTGATGCCAAGCTACGCAAATATGAATGGTAATCTTCAAATATCTCTTTCAAAGCAGTTTTATAATTTAACTCCAGCAAGGAAACACCCTGTTGAGTGTGTGCCAGGTTTGCTAAAAAATTTAAAAACGTTCTGAAAGAATTGTGATTAGCGTACAGCAGACGATTTACCTAGGGTATCAAATGCGGTTGGTAAATTAGCAATATCTCCTCTATGCAGGCATTCAAACAGACATCTTATCATGTGGGGATACCCGGTTATTATTTTTTGTGGTTGCACACGAGCAGTTTTACCAAAGAATTTCATTATACCGGGTACCAATAAACGATCCAAAGGGTTATCTTCACTTTCAACACGTTTACATATAACGTCATATACCTGATGTTTCTCTAAGTAAAGCAAACCATGATTTTGTTCAGCCAATGAAACCAATATCTCCAATATATTAACTTGCATCAATATGTCATCGTTATCCAATTCAGCCAAAGCATGGTCTACAATAAATTCCACTTTCTCCAATGTTATTGGAGAACGCTTGGCTAAGCCTACCGCCAGCTCATAAGTTCGACATTTCACAATGCCGTCTTTGTTAAGGGCAACGGTTAAGGATTCTTTTACCCACGGCTGATGTAAATGGTTTTCCAAAACCATCAACAAAATACTTAAAGCCGGATTACCAACCTCAGTTTCAATATCCTGCAAACCTTTTAGAACATATTGCAATAGCTCATCGCTCAAAAGATCGCCTACCGACTGTTCATCCTTGCCGTTTAAGTTAACTTGATTTTGTAATTCTTTTAATATAGTATTCAAAGCTAGAGCCCTAATGCGGGCCTTCTTGTGCTCTAAAGCTCTCTGCAATAAGAGCGGAAAATCGTTTTGCCTCAACGTTAAATTCGCCATACAAATAGACAAAATATCGCTAACTAAATCCAACCGCTGCGCCTCTCCACCATTTTCTCGGTATTTAGTTTTATCTTGCCCTGCACCTTCCTCCTCGAGGCAGTCATAAATCTCCGGACAACTAAGCAAACGATTGGTTATCCTCACCTCGAGATCTGGTGTCACGTTCAAACGTCCTCGTATCTCGCTTAAAGTGGATAACATGTTGTCTGTGTTAATTTTCAGACTTTCTAGTTTCTGAGTAAACCATTCTTCAGACATTGTTGGAATTTGAATAAAAAAATTAAGCAATATTTAATCTTAAGGAATGTTTGTTATTTAAAAAAGCCTATTCATTCTTTCTTCAAAAAAACAAACAGCTGATTTTGCAGAGTTGTTATGCTTCGGTTTTCTTTGACAGTATCAATAAGAAGACAATGTATTATTGCAAAATTGCACAACCTCTGATAGTTAAAACAATGTCAAAACTTCAATGTAAAAGACCAACCAAATTCTTAGGGCGGAAAATAAATTAATAAAAAAATGTTTTTTTTTACTTATATTTATTACACTGTGTTCTTCTCTTTTGTTATGGACTGATGATAAATATAGGATGAGAAAAGGTTGAAATCAGGTGTTTTTCCTTTATATTGGAAGAGCAATTTCCTTATTCCAATTCACAAATGTGGAAATAGACTTCATATTGAAAAGTATAGAGGCATCGCCAGGGTAAGTGTCTTACCTAAATTGTATGAGCAAATTGTTACTCAGCATTTAACTTTTAGCTATTAAATCTTATATTCCTGCATGCCACCATGACTAGTGACTCTGGCACGAATATCGTGTATACTGATTTTAGTAAAGTGTTTGACTTAACTATACCGTATTGATAGTCAAACTCCATGCCTCTGACTTCCCTTTCTACTTAATAAAATGGATAAGCTCTTATCTGCATAATAGACCATTCAGCGTTCTGTTTAACTTCATCACCTCGAATGAATTTCCCGTGACATCTGGCGTCACTCAAGGCAGCCACTTAGAACCTCTTTTATTTAACTTATACATTAGTGATCTCCCCCCGGCTAGTAAATCCAGCTAGATCTTAATGTGCGCTGATGACGTTAAATTGTTTACTTTCTTCGAATCGTAAAGTTTCAACTTGAGTTAAATAATTTGGTTACATGGTGCTCTTTAAATTTTTTAACATCTCTTTATATCCTTTATGTTACTTTTTAATAATAATTTTTTTATGAGATATGCTTCTAAGAGTCAATTGAATTCGACCGTTAATTTATTTTAGTTGAGTTTTATGTGTAAGTAAATAAATAAATAAATAAATGTAGAAAAGACGTTTATGAACAACACTTGTAAAACGCATTATTAGAGCATGAACCTATATTAATATTATTTTGAAAAACTAACCTTCTGCCATGTGATTTGAATTCCTCTGAACACAGTCCAGGCTATACTATTTTCAAATATCTTAGTATTTCCACAAAGCCGTCTTCTTTGTAAAAGAATAATTTTCTAAAAATTTCCAGGGCACGTGTATTGGCAAGTCAACCTTCTTATAACACTGAAATTTTAAGCTCCGAATCGATATTACAATAAGCCGGCACGGCGCAAAGGCAAAGGTGAGTGTGATTATAGTCAAAATTTCACTGTCGGAAAGGATGTCAGTTCAATCTATAGCCTCTATTGATGGAAATACTCATTTTCATCCAAATAATATCTTCTTCATCCATCGGAAGTTTTAGCGGAGCCATTCTGTAATTGCAATTTTAAAACGATTGGCATGGATAAATTTTATTTTCTCTACGAAATTAATAAATAACCATAACTTACACAAAAAATTATCTTCGAGCCCTCGAGCTGTTCAATGAAAAGTTACGTTATGAAGGTCAAGTGATTTTCCAAACCTACTCTATTAGACGATAGCTAGGTTTCGAGTTTTTTTGCTTTACGTATGCGCAGTAACTGGGAGAAACGATTTTTGTACCTGTCAAATCATACGAAAGCTAACTAGCTTTTTTTGATACTAGCTTTAGTTTTGCATTAGCGTTGCTTTTTATACCCTACATCACTTGGGTACAGAGTATTTTAAGTAGTGCGGTCGCATGTAGCATGAAAAAGCCCTTTAGATAGATCGACCTTTTATTATACCGATCGATTCAGAATCACAATCTGAATTGATCTAAACCTGTCTGCTCGTCTGATGTCTGTGTTCAAATTACAGGTCGCAATTTTTGAGATATTTTGATGAAAGTTGGTGCAGTGACGTGTTTTGACCCAATGACGAACGCCACTTTTTCGACCTCTCCCATATAAAGAAAAAACTATAACTTTAAAAATTTCTCGACAAAAGTGTCTAAGTAGTAGCATTTCGGCATTCTAAATTGGTATGAAAACTTTGAACCGATTGGGGAAATTATTGATCCTTCTCTCATATAGCGACAATTAAAGTTCATACGAGAAAGACGTATAATTTTCAATGCTTCACGACGAAAATTATATTATAATAATAATTTAACATAAAATAATTAACTGTGACAAATTTGGACCATCTCGGCCTACTTTTTGAGTCCTAATAAGAATTTTCTCGAAAATTGCTCTTTTGCAGAGCAGAAAAGCCTAAGTTTTAATATGTGGTGATGGAAATTGACCCATAATATTATACTTTTTTCATAAAAAAATTAACTCTACAAAATTTAGACCAACTACGTCTATTTTTGGATCCTGCACTATGTAAGGATTAAACTTGAACTACATTAGGTTGTGTTTAGGACCCGCTTCCCCATAAATACGCACATAAAAAATATGCCTTTATATAGAAACAAGATATTAATTTTGTGTTCTATAATAATAAAATGGTGTGGTATAGGGTATTTACAGAGGACCTTGCTCGACAGTAATGTTCTAACTTGTTCAAAGGTAGTTTTGGTTGTCTAGAGTTGGATTTATTACGAAAAACAGCTGTAGATAGAATAAAAATAAGTAAATTAAATTCCAAACAAAGTAGTTTTCTTACAAAGAGCTGACGTCCGCCTGAGTGGCCGAGTAGGCAAGAGTCTCGACTAGCAACTCAATGGTCGTGGGCTCAAATCTCAAGTGCGGTAGAGTTTTTAATAAAGCCGAAAGCCTCAGATGCTAGTGCTTTAAGACTTTAGTCTTAGAATTTATTCTCTGGCTAAATTTATAAAAATTTATAATAATAATAATACAAAGAGCTGAAACAAAACAAGTAATATTCAATTTTTGAAAGGTAAACAAATCAATATTTATTCTTTGCGCTCCAATTGCCTCAATAATACCCCTAACCGGAAAAAACGTAAGTCAATATGGGTGGTTATGCACTATAACACATAACGCAAAATTAGTTGAACACACAATTTTGCTAAAGCATAATTATATGGTTGGAGTTTGATACATAAAAGTTAATGAAGTGCAAAATTATTTTTTCGTAAGGAAGGTCGAATGACGAGAGCCATACATAGTGCAAAACCAAATGGTTTTCAAGTTACGCCGTCGAAATGGGAGTTAATTGACTAAAAGTTACATAATCAATAGACTAATTTTCAACTTCATCCTGAGATTATTGAGATACGTGTTGATTTTTAAATATAATAATGGAGGTACACAATTTCAATTTACTGTTAATAATGTATACTTTTTATTCCGATAAAAATTTTTAACCGAATACGTTGAAAATGCGCTAGAATGGCAATCTCTGTCCACGAAAGCGGTGAAAACACGATCTGACAATCAAGATGGCGTCAGTTTTCACCACGAATATATTATAAGATTTACACTTGAAAATTTTTTCGATTTTATTTCGCAGAGTTTTAAAGAATATTTAGGTAATGTCGCAAAGATTTGCTCCTGGTCAACCAGGTCAATCTCCAGTGCCTGCACAACCGCGTTATCAACCGCCACCATCTCAAACTGCCAGCATGAGACCTTACGCAGCAGGCACAGGATTTCCGGTATGTTGTACGGCAAAGTGAGATAGTTATGATTAAATAGCGTCTAACAATTTTTGTTTTATCCAATCCAAATCAACAGCGTGGGTTTCCTTTACATCCCAGTACGCCACAACCAGTGGCTGGGAATACTAATCCTCCGGGTGGACCATCCTTACATCAACGTGCCTCTCAGCCAGGTTTCCAAAGTGGCTTAAGAGGCAGTGGTTCAGGAGGGGGCAGTAAACGTTCCGCGGAATCGCGTAATATAAGTAGTGCTCAAAACAAGGGTGATTTTGTGCCTGCCAAAAAGAAGAAAAAATTGGCTGACAAAATTTTGCCACAAAAAGTGCGAGATTTAGTACCGGAATCACAAGCTTACATGGACTTGCTGACATTCGAACGTAAATTAGATGCCACAATTATGAGAAAGCGTCTAGATATACAAGAAGCCTTAAAGCGCCCTATGAAACAGAAACGTAAATTACGTATATTTATATCGAATACGTTTTATCCAAGTAAAGAGCCTACCAACGAGGGCGATGAGGGTTCAGTAGCCTCTTGGGAACTACGTGTAGAAGGCCGATTATTAGAAGATGGCAAAGGCGATCCAAATACTAAGATTAAGCGTAAATTTTCTTCGTTTTTTAAATCTTTGGTTATAGAATTAGATAAGGAATTGTACGGCCCTGATAATCATTTGGTGGAATGGCACCGTACTCACACTACGCAAGAGACAGATGGTTTTCAAGTCAAAAGGCCAGGCGATCGCAATGTTCGTTGTACCATACTTTTACTATTAGATTATCAGCCTTTGCAATTTAAGCTGGATCCACGTTTGGCTCGCCTTCTGGGAGTGCATACTCAAACGCGCCCGGTTATTATTTCAGCTTTATGGCAGTACATTAAAACTCATAAGTTGCAAGATGCTCACGAACGCGAGTATATTAACTGCGATAAATATCTGGAGCAGATTTTTGGTTGTCAACGCATGAAATTTGCTGAAATACCGCAAAGGCTTAATCCTTTACTGCATCCGCCAGATCCGATCGTCATTAATCATTTCATAGAAAGTGGAGCTGAAAATAAGCAAACTGCTTGCTACGATATTGATGTTGAAGTTGATGATACGCTTAAAAATCAAATGAACAACTTTTTAATTAGCACTGCCAGTCAGCAAGAGATACAAGGTCTCGATGCCAAAATCCATGAGACCGTGGATACAATTAATCAAATGAAAACCAATCGAGAATTTTTCCTAAGTTTTGCAAAAGATCCGCAAACGTTTATACAACGTTGGATTGTTAGTCAGACCAGGGACCTAAAGGTAGATTTAAAAACAACTAAATTTTGCAAAGAAAAGTTAATCTAATCGTTTCACTAATTTCTTAGGCGATGACCGATGTAGCTGGTAATCCCGAAGAAGAACGGCGAGCTGAGTTTTATTATCAGCCTTGGACTCACGAGGCTGTCTCCCGTTATTTCTTCACAAAAGTCAATCAGAAACGAGCCGAACTGGAACAAGTTTTGGGTATACGTAGTGGTTAATATTATTCTAGTTTATGCGTCAAACTAGAACAAAAAACGTTTTTCCCTCACTATAATTTTCTCTTCTCTCACGCTTGTGCTAGAATTAAGATAATTTTGCTTTTTTAAGATGACGTTCATTTCTTAAACATTCGTATGTGACAAGCTACAAAACTAAACACTTACTAAAACTACTAAACTTATAATTTGACATTTGATTTCATTAGAAAATATCTGGAAGTATTAAAATAAAATTTAACGAATTAGTAATCATTCACATTAAATTATCAACTAAGTTATATAGAGAAAAATGGCATGATCAAAAGCCGCAAGTGGAATGTTTGTATCTATAATGAAATTTATTTCGTAATCATTTCAAATTGACGTAAATTAGTTTGTTAGAACGGGTTGGGTAATGTATATACAAAATATTTGTCAGATAAATATAGGTTATAAGTACTAAAAAAATTACCTCACTTTCAAATAGGGCATGCTTTTTAAAAAAAAACAAGTTTTGAAAAGAAGATTTGGATTCGAAGACATTTATGAAGTGTCTCCGAAAGGAAAGAAATGGCACAGCGAATATTTTGTGATAGAAATAATTGTTTTAAATCTACCCTAATGATAGAGCAATGGAATTGGAGAAACTGTTCGATATTAGAATTGCTTCCTTTTGTTTCACAAATTATCTCGCTTCATGGCCAATTTCTATTTTCGAAGTGAACGGTTTTAAGCCAACAGGAATGCGTACGTGCCGAGAAAAAATTTTCTTTCAAGGAAAACTGTTGCTACGGGTAATCAGTTATTAAAACGAAATATTCCAGAGAGACGACATGAAAATTTCGAAACAGTCAAAAAAATTAAAATCAAACTCGGCCTTTATATCTAATCGTACAACTTGTAGAAGGTTTTCTTGCAAAACATACATACAATCCGTCAATGTAAGCCATGTTCTTTAATAAACCCGTCAATTCTACCATTCGATCGGATTATAGATCACGCCTATAATTCCGATTAATGAAGATATAAAAAGCGATTTTCCTTAATTCACTCAATAGGTCCTGTAATAAGCGTAAAGAAATGCATATATCAGAAGACTAAAAGTTCTCTAAAGGCTTTAATAAGACAGCTTCTCACTACATAGAGAAAGGCTTTCCCTCCAGCAAACGCACTTCTGAGGTTTGATTAAAGGAACTCAATAAATTTTTGACTGCGAAGAGGCTGTCAGAGTCTTCCACCGCACTTCATTAGAATACAATGCAATTTCTTTTTACTTTTTGGAGTTCTCATTAAACAAGCGATTGCTTACACAATCCAATATGTATGGGTAGGTTCCTTTTTGCGCTTGCTCATTGCTTGGATCGCAAAATGGAAAATTGCCCCTTCTTGTATATCCTTCGACATGTTTCTGAAGTAGTTTGAAAAATATGCAAGCGTGCATGCACACAGAATCTGATTTTCCTATGTGAAAGCGAAATATTACTGAGTAAAATGTTTAACAAAATCACAAAATGCCTGAGGTTAAGAGAAGCTGAAGAATCAGAAAGCCTGTCTAAATATCTAAATTAAAAATTATAAAGTCATAGGCTTTTTATCATAACATAATTAAGAAAATTTAAATTTTTAATATTATACTGTTTGGCTTATTTTCACCTGACAAGGAATTTAGTAGAATAGAACTTGGAAACAATTCCCAACAATGTGTAGGAAGAAATGCTCCGTGTGATGAATCGCAAAATCGAATAAATGCTATATAAAAAGTTCATATATATATAACATATATTATCTTCCTCTTTTAACACTAGATTTACCTACCTTTTTTACATATTACATATGTTATTGAAATAGTCAATTTCACCCAGTTTAACTTAAGTGTAACGCGCTTTAGCGTCTCCTCACGCCCATTTTTTAATAAGATATTCTTAGTCGATCGAGGAATGTTCGTGCCAAATTTCAGGTCCCTATCATTCTTTTTGCGACTGTGACAATTCACAAAATTCATCGGTCACGAAAAATATACTAAAATCTTTACATCCATATTCAGATCAAACTTATCTATTCTTTAATTTGAAATTGCATACCACCGAAGAACAATTTACCTCTTTCAAAGATTCGTAAATATGCTACATGATCGGGCATTTTATATATGTACACCGAGCTTTTGTCTCTTTCAATGACAATGCTCTTGTTAATGAGGTTTTATAAATAAAGTATTGCTAAACTAAAATCATTTTTCGACACGTTACTGTCTAATCTAAGTCTAAATTATAAAGCAATTCATTTGCAAATATTCTCATTGAGTTTTGATTTGAGTTGATGGTACGAAATTGCAGTCGTAGATGCTAAGAGCCATCTAGTGGTAATATTAATTATTATTTATCGAATGCATTGGGCTAACAATTTCTTATTCACATACATTGTCGCAAAAAAGAAGCAGACCTACAATTGTGTTTATACGGCAACCGGCCCGTGTGGTATGTTTATTACTGAACTGACTTCCAAAACAGTTTCTGTAAAATAAGAAAATTTATAAACTTCCTAAAAATCAAAAATAAAGGACAATGTATTTACCTTCGTTAAGTACAATATTGGGTGTGGCATTTCTGGGCTATATTGGTCATTCCATGTGGACGGTGGCACAGCTGTTTACAAAATTGAAATGCACTGACGTGCCTTGTTATTACTCGTTCCTTGCGACTAAACCACGTATGCAGTTAGCCTTATTTATATCTACTACACCTAATCCAATATCGTCAGAAGTTACAAGTTTAGAAAGCCTCAGCAGTTTTGATTATTGGCATGAATTCAATAGAAAATACGAAATAAAATTGCCAGCTGCAACACGTCGTAATGGAAGTTTGTATATGCAAGTAGTACTAGCGGCCGAAGGCCAACCATTAGAATGGAAAACATTAAAACGCGATGGACCAACTATTATTCATAGCACACGTATTACTGACTATATGGAACCGCAGGCAGAGACGTTTAATTTATTGGGTGAGAATGGGGTAAGTAAACGAACAAAAGATGTCATTTATTGTGAAACTAAAGACTGAAACAACGAACTGTTCTTTTTAAATAGAAACAAAGTATTGCTGCCAAACCGGCCAGGAAAAAAAATACGTACAATAAACCAGTAACACATATTATGTCCGATGTTTACGTAGTTTTGCTAACTGATGATATATCGTTGAGTTCTAAGGATGTACCACCAGAAATGGCTAAATACATACACGTGAATCAATATAGACAGATTTTACCCATTATGAAGACAGACTTTTTTAATACGCGCCCTAAGGATTTGGTAAAAGTTTCTACAAATATGACAAGTTTTACCATAAATTATCATTATCAGCCTATTGGGACTGGAAAGTTGCGCTTCATGCTTCTTTTTGAACATTCTATTGCGATGATGCAGAATATGGGTATACCCAAAAAAGATATTGATGAAGTTAAATCAATGCTTTCGGGTACTAATTTGTATCTGCTGCTCGTCACTGTGTTTGTAGCAAGCGTACATGTACGTAGTCATTAATAGATAGACAGGCGGTGCTTGAATGCTTAAATTATTTTAATTTGCCTTTCAGTTGCTGTTCGATTTTCTTTCCTTTAAGAATGACATAATATTTTGGCGTAAGAAAAAGTCTTATGAAGGTTTGTCTACGCGAACAACATTATGGAGAGCTTTTTCCCAAATTGTCATATTTTTTTACTTGATGGATGAGAAAACTTCCTTGCTGGTTTTAGTGCCAGTGGGTTTGGGTGTTTTTATTGAATTATGGAAGTGCAAAAAGATACTTAAATTGGAATTTTATAATGGAGGATTACGTAGAAGGTCTTCAGCAGTGGGGCAAAACCCATCGAAATCCCTTGGCGCAGCTGAGCAAAAGACTGAAGAGTTTGATAAGCAGGGCATGCTATATCTTAGCTACTTACTTTATCCTCTATGCATAGCCGGTGCTGTTTACTCATTACTATATAAATCACATCGCAGTTGGTATTCATGGACTTTGAATTCTTTGGTAAACGGTGTTTATGCCTTTGGTTTTCTCTTCATGTTGCCGCAATTGTTTGTCAATTACAAATTGAAGTCAGTGGCCGCTTTACCCTGGCGTTCGTTTATGTACAAGGCATTCAATACATTTATAGATGATTTCTTTGCTATCATAATTACAATGCCAACGGCTCATCGTGTGGCATGTCTACGTGATGATATTGTCTTTCTTATTTATTTGTATCAACGTTGGTTGTATCCGGTCGATAAAAATCGCGTCGATTCCGGCCTAAGTATAACGGAATCTATAGATGATACAGAGACCGAGCGAGTAGAGAATATTGAAACTGATACAGATATGGAAAAGAAAACTAAGTAATTTTGAATTTCTAATGTAAGTTGTTTGTGGAAGAAATTTACATATCGTTTCGCCTCTATCTGATTTTCTTTTCAATTTTTTTTTCTTTTATCTGCGTTGAATAAATATTTCTATGCTCGATACATGTCTATAAAGAAAGATAAAGAAGTTTGCAACAAATTTATAGAAAGTTGTAAAGCCGATCATGTTTAACCGGCCATTGTAGAAATGATTTTTAGCATAATCGATCGGTTATTGTTTAAACCAACTAAGACTATATCATATATTATATATATATATATATATATATTTAATTTCCTAAACGACATATTTATTTAATATCTTAAACAATAATATTCCAATTGCAACGTTTAGAAGTGAAATACAAAAATCTATTTCAGTGT